ATTCTCCACCAAAAAGAAGGAGCTCCAGGTCCTGCAACCGCAACTGCAACTGCGTGCAGGCGGACCGAGAGTGCCCCTGCAGCTCCTCGAGAGGCGACTGGCCCGTCGTGTCCTGCCCCGATGGATGGTGCGTGGCTTCACAGTAACATCCACCCATTGCTGAGCCAGGAAACCCCCCGCTCCAAGTGTCCCAAGGTCCCCAGGTGGAAGCAACAGAAGCACCTTTTTCCTTCGATCGGGCGAACAAATCGTCCCAGCCCCGGTCCTACGGCATCTACACGCCCGTCCTCGGTCTAAGACGGTGGGCCCTTCAGACACGACTACCCTGCCTGGGTTAGCCCAAACCACCCAATTGGCTGCGGGCTAGTACGAGAATGGGATCCAATTCGAGGTCGACCCCTCCATCTGGGCTCCCACGCGGCGATGGACAAGGGCCCAGGGATTGGAGTGCCGTCTTCCATCATGTGCTGATCATCCATTCCATTCGAATCCCGTTCCCGCTCCATCGAACAAGATCAAGCCTTCTTTGACCTGTCGTCTGCCTCGTGGACGAACCCTACGTTGCGTCCAAAGCCACCGCCAACACCACCCTTTCGACATCAAAGAGAGACGTATCCGGCTGCGCCAGCCGAGACGTCGACAGCCTGAGACCAGCAGCACCTCAAGAGAACGGCCGAGGAGACTGAAGCACCGTTTGCGCCTGAGCTCGGCACTTGAGCCAGCAACATTCCTCTATATTGGACCTCCCCCTTCGTCAATGCCGGCCCACGAACAAGACCACTTCACAAACACCACCACGAGAACCACGAACACGTTACCCACAGTCTCGACCGACCATCTTGCCAAGAAGGGCATTCGATCCTTTGTCCAACTTGCCAGATTGCCAACTTTTGGATACCACCTCCGTCCGGCTTGTCCCGTCTCGTCTCGTCTCATCCCATCTTGATCCCCATCGTCTCGCGTCCTCTCCTAGGCCAACGCCCACGTCCCCTGCCTCAGCTCCAGCAAACGGCACCAGCACGCAGAAAATAAGTACGGTGCGTGCGTCGTTGCGTGAGTGTGCATGTGCTGGCGATGCTTTGGTTCCATGTCGCAACCCCGTACGCATGAAACCGATCGACCGGCTCTCAGCCCACGCGGGATCTACCTCGCCTTTCCCACCCTTCAATTGAGCTTAAACCCAACATAGCTTGTCTTGAACAACCTTACGTTACCAACCTTACGCTTTAGCCCGAGCTCTTGCGTTGTTTCTATTTCAACAGCCTGCTCTTTGTTGACCTTGTCCGTGGTCGCCATAAAGCTCCCATTGCCCGAGCATAGCAGCTCTGCGAACATTCCATCCACGTCCTCTCGACAGGCTTGCAGCTGACTGCGTCAACTCGACACCTCCATACGTCCTCTGTCGCCGTCATCATCATCTCGAAACTCAAAGGCGCCACGCCTCCGACGAGAGTCGACCAACAGCGCCATGGGGGTTCCGTGGCGTGGAGTGTCCGTCAGCTCGGCGGTGATTGCGGTATTGCTGGCATTGCGCCAGCCAGTGTTCTCGAGATGCCACGTCCTTGTCACCTTCGCCAGCGCCTGGATGCTCCAGATGATGGCCTGGGGAGTCTTTGTCGTCTTCCTATACCCTCAGTACTTTTCCGCTCTTCGCACGTTACCCGGGCCCAAGGACGACCACTGGTTAATGGGTCAATACCCTAGAATCGTGCGCCAGCCGACTGGCGTTCCCATGATTGAATGGTATGTTCACTTGCATCGCATGACGTACGTAGACTAACAAACCAGGATCAATACCATCCCCCACGAGGGCATCATCCGCTACCGCGGCCTCTTCAACCAGGAGCGCCTGCTCATCACCTCGCCAAAGGCCCTGGCCGAGGTGTTGGTTACGCACAACTACGACTTCCACAAGCCCACTGCCGTGCGATCGTCGATCGGCCGTATTCTCGGTATCGGCGTCCTATTGGCTGAGGGCGACAACCACAAAGTCCAGCGTAAGAACCTTATGCCGGCCTTCGCCTTCCGCCACGTCAAGGATCTGTACCCCCTCTTCTGGAGCAAGGCATGCGAGGGCGTCGAGGCCATCACCGACGCCGTCATGGCCGAGGCAGCAAAGACGGCGGCCGACGGAACCGAGGACCCCGAGAAGGCGGCCCTGGGCCCCAAGACGGCCGTGTTGGAGATTGGCAACTGGGCGTCGCGAACCACGCTCGACATCATTGGCATGGCAGGCATGGGACGCGACTTTGGTGCCATTCGCGATCCCTCGAACCCCCTCAACCAGACCTACCAGCACGTCTTCAAGCCGAGTCGTCAGGCCCAGGTCCTCGCCGTTCTGGGCCTCCTCCTCCCTGGACCCCTCGTTCACGCTCTCCCCTTCCGCCGCAACGGCGACATCGCCAAGGCTGCGCAGACAATCCGTGCCACATGCCGCGAGCTCATCCGCGAGAAGAAGGCGAAGCTCGAGCGCAAGCAGCTCACCGACATTGACATTCTGTCAGTCGCCCTCGAGTCTGGCGGCTTCAGCGAGGACAACCTGGTCGACCAGATGATGACCTTCCTCGCGGCCGGCCACGAAACGACCGCTTCCGCCATGATGTGGGCCATCTACTGCCTCTGCCTGCACCCCGAGGTCCAGTCCCGCCTCCGCCTCGAGATCCGCGAGCGGCTCCCCACCCCCGGCACCCCCGGCGACATCACGGCCCTCGACATTGACCACATGCCCTACCTCAACGCCGTCTGCAACGAGGTCCTCCGCTACTACTCCCCCGTCCCCATGACCCTCCGCGAGGCCGCCGTAGACACCGTCATTGACGGCAACAAGGTCCCCAAGGGAACTCGCATCATGCTCTGCCCGTGGGCCACGAACAAGGACACGGCGCTGTGGGGCCCCGATGCCGGCCGCTTTGACCCCGACAGGTGGATGCCCCGCGACGGCGCCGACGCCGAGAGCAAAAAGACGGCCGCCAGCGGTGGCGCCACGAGCAACTACGCCTTCATGACTTTCCTGCACGGCCCGCGCAGCTGCATCGGACAGGGCTTCGCCAAGGCAGAGTTTGCGTGTATCCTGGCCTCGTGGATCGGCCGCTTCGAGTTCAGCCTGAAGAACAAGGAGGAGTACGACGAGAAGAACATTACGATCAAGGGCGGCGTCACCGCGCGCCCGGCCAAGGGCCTGCATGTGAACGTGAAGATTGTCGATGGGTGGTGATAGAGATACCTGGGCGCAACGCTGTAATTAATGATACGATGCATGACACTGGGCTGGGTTCCTGGGACGCGCTGAGCACTTTGAACCCGTACAGCCATGGACTGTCGGGGCTTTGGATAGTATTAGTGTTTGATTCGATGTAGACGGCGACGTTGTATATAGCCATGTTCAGCTTCGTGGACCCCGTTTGATGATGTATTCTTCAATCCCATTGATGTAATTCCCTTTGTTTGTGGCCGCCAAACTGCTCTGTCGTGCCTGCATGTAAAAGCCTCCTCGAAATGCGCTGTCGTTTATGTCCTATAATGTGTGTGTTCTGTTCGCCTTAGGTAGCATGTTTAGGAATGACTACTGATGATACATCAAACGACAGCCCGGACGTGGACTCGATTTCACCCATGGCCGAGGTAAAGAAAGGAATGATGTTATTCTCGGTAGAGTATAGCGATGTACTGAATGTTGACAATGAGTATGGCCCTAGAGTAGATCTAATGGCGTTGTAATTCTTTACGAATAGTGTTGGTGAGCTACTTGCACTAGAATTTGTGACACCAACATGCTTATACTAGGATCTCAGTCGGGTTCTTAGAAAAGCAGTGCAGATGGGCCAGTCGCACATAAATTTACAACTTAGCCCAGCATACGTCGTTTAACATCTATCAAAGTCTGCAAGTTAGCCAGTTCTACACATTCTATAATTTCAGCATGCCTATCATAATGTATCTCTGAAAAACCCGCGCTGCTTTTTTTTTCACATCCCCCCCCCCCCTCCTTGTTTTCTTTTTCTTTAATCAACTTTCCACCCCTTCTTCCCTCTTCTCCATACCTCCTCCAACACCTACCTTCCTACCTCGGACTTTCCATCACAAATTCATCCAGCAACCCGCCTAATCACTCCAGCCACCCGCCTAATCACTCCAGCCACCCTCTCGCAACTAATAAAACCTAACTATCAACATGGCGCCTACCTCGACAAAAGACAAACCGAACGAGACCGACCAATCGTCAATTAAAAAGGAAGATGATCGCCCAGCTAACATCAGCAACGACAAAGCGAAGCAGCTCGCGGAGCAAATGAACCAAAAGGCCGAAGGGCTCTTCAGTTTTATCGACGCGCAGCTCCAGAACGTGGTCTGGCTGCAGCTCGGAGAAGCTCCCAACGATGACTTTTCCTTCAGTTCCATGGAAGGCGACAGGGAGGAGGAGGACAACAACGACGGTGCTTCGCCCAGGGCGGAAGGCAGCAACACCGCTGCCTCGTCAAGTGCGGAAGGAAGCAACAATGAGGGGGGCGGCAACAAAGACGCTTCGTCCGATGAGGAGGACAATAAAGAGGACGTCTCGTCTGGTGAAGGCGACAACGACGATGCCGCGTTTAGCGACGAGGAGAACAGCGACGATGCCTGGTTCGGCGACCTCAGGAAATGAGACAACATCGTCTCAGGGGATGTTGGAACAGGCAGGAGAGGGGCGATACAGCCGTCAGAGGAGATGAGAGCAACATCGCTCTCATAGGAAACGGGCAACGCAGATATCGGTATGCAGTGATGATGAGCGACATCGCTCTCAGAGGCCAAGGGCAACATCGCTCTTGGAGGAGTAAGGTAGCTTAAATTGATACTTTGCCCGAAATATGCGCGAAGGCGTGCCCAACTGGACTTGATGCTTCTCATAGTTGGGGGCCTAGTCCGAAGCGTACCTATGCAATGTACAGCAAAAGTAAGACTCATGCATCAACACTCACAAATAAAACACACGCGATAATGGAGCCAGGCTATACTTTTATTTAGTCCTCAAATACCCAGTATTCCATATAAAAGTCTACGCACTCTGGCTTACTCATGTCTAAGTGGATAACGATGTTCCCCGCCTTGACCTCCTTATCCCATATACCATTACCCATAGCCACTTCTCGCAAGCAGTTCTCTTTGACGAATGCGCAGGTATGTCTCTGCATGTCCATGATGACAGCCCACGCCCATTCGGGCTTCTTGACGATGTGAATAACACTCCCATTGTTGTCTTGCAGGAGCTCCAACACCATTGGAAGTTTCCCTTGGGCGTTGAGTCCCTCGGCGTCGACTGCCTTGGGGTCATGCTGAGCGATGAGATCCCAGCACTCTTGCATGACCTCGTGCGAGTCTTCGATGTGTCCAGTGCTGGGCCATCTCCGTCTCAGAACGTCCGCCAGCGCCCAGATGGCAGCTCGCGCAGGGATATTAAGCTCATTTGGACGGACTGTCGAAAGACTCCAATTGCTGTGGTCGATAATCCACTGTATCAACGCTGTGTTGACTCGTGGAGCCCGTGAGACCAGTCTGGTCAGTCTCCGCATCAGACCGTGAAACACGTTGATCCCAAGCACTTTGTCTTGCAGGTCCTGAACGAGCATCGAAACGACCGCCCCTAACTCGTGACCAGGAAACTCCGAGTATTGTTGATCTGCTGTCCAAGACTCGCTGATAAGCCAAGGCTTGTGATCGTGGCCTGCGGCCTGAGTGCCTTGGCCAATGGCTGATATCAGCGTATGTTCGCTATAGAACTCCCTTGGACCAAATAAAAGTCTAGCCCATTGGAAAATTGCATCGGTATGCAACTCATTGGCGAGCCGGAGACTCTCTTCAGCTTTTACTGTCTCGGTCATCTCTGTGCTGAGACTCTCCTTCAGCACTTGCACTCCGGCCGCTATGCTGACGAGCTGATTTCCAACATCAACCCTCTGCAACTCCACATCTGCCAAGTCCTTCTGGAGACGCTCGAGGTGCGAACTTTTCAGCGCTGCGTCGCGTCTCTCCTCCTCTAAGTGCCTCTCTACCTCGAGTTTTGAGTCACTCAGTATCAGTACTAGATCTTCCAATCCGGTAACCTTCTGTTCGAGCCGATGACGCTCTTCTTTGGCATTATGGGTGGCTGCTGCGTGCTCTTTCTTGAGCTTTTCCATCTCCAACTTGATGTTCTTGAGCGCTGTCTCATAACCTCCCTTTTCTTTGTAGTGAGTTGTTTCCAACGACTGCTTATCCCTGCCGTGCGATGACTTTTCAGTCTCTATGGCGGCCCAATGTGTGTTTCTCATCTCCTCTATAGCATCTCGCATGCTTTTCATTTCCTTCTCATGCTCCTCCGCATCTTTATCGCGTGCGGTGTTGCACTCGTCGATCTGCCTCTGCATCTCCTTCACCTTGTCCTCGTGTGTAGCCTTGGAGTCGTTCAGTTGCTTTTGAGCCACCCCCACCCTGTTCTTGTACATGGCCTTGGTGTCTTCGACCCTTATCCGCAACTTGTCCGTCTCGGCGTCGTGGGCGGCTTTGGCTGCATCCATACTTTGTTGCTTCTTGCCCGGCTCTTCACGATGGGCTATTTTGGCATTCTCGATGAGTTGCTGCATCATATTCACCTTCTCCTTATGCGACGTCTCAGAGTTCTCGGCGCGTTTTTTCATATCGTCCAGCTGAGCATCGTAAGAGGCTTTGGACGTGGTCAGACGTTGCTCCATCTCATCCATCTTTTCCTTATGGTTGACCTCATCATCCTTGATGCGTTGTTGCATCTCTTCCACCTCATTCTTGTGTTTTGCACCAGCATCATCAATACGCTTCTGTAAATCTTTCGTCGTGCTTCCGTGTGTGGCCGCGGTCTCGTCGATACCTTGCCTCAGCCGCTTAATCTCGTTGGTAGACTCGTCGATGCGTTTTTCCGTCGCCTGTTTCTCGGTCTCGTGCGTGTTCGTGGCCTCGTCGATGCGTTGTTGCATCTCCTCTATCTCAGTCTTGTGTGTGGCAGCATCATCATCAAGACGCTTCTGTAAATCTTTCGTTGTGCTTGTATGCGCGTCTGCAGTCTCTTTGCTTTTTTGCTGTAACTTCTCAACCTTGTTCTCATACTCTTCGATGCGCTTTTCCATCGCCAGTTTCTCAGAGTCGCGGGCTGTCGTAGCCTCGTCGATGCGTTGTTGCATCTGTTCCAATTCCTTCTCGTGTAATAGCTTGGAGGCTTCGTGCGCCTTGGTGGCTGATGAGACTGCCTTCTCGCGCTTGTCCTCTGACTCTTGCATGTCCTTATCGTACTTCTGTTTCGCGTTTTCGAGTTCGCTGCGAAGCTGTGTTGCTTCTTCCTTGTATCGGTCGCAATCTCTCTCAACCTTGACAACGTGCTCCTTGTACATGATGTCGCTTGCCCTCAAGGTCATGAGTTGCTTTCTGTAACTATTCCTGTGAGTTTCAGCTTTGTCTTTGGCTTCCTCGAGCGCTTTAATCGCGGCGTCCTTTTCGACGAGGGACTTCTCTAGTTTCAAAGCCTTTTCCTCAAGCTCCTTGTTCAGATTCTCCTGCGTCGCAAGAATTGTTTCCAGTGACTCCAGCATCTTCTTGCCGGTTTTCAGATTTTCTTTCGCCGTGGCTGTTTGTGTCGTAGCTTCGTTCTTGTCCTTGAGGGAATTTGGAAGGAGAGCCATCAGTTCATTATCGACCTCTTGGCCGGCAGGTTGACTTCTCTTCAGATCGGGAGCACCGGGCGCAGGGTCGATGTCAAGAATGCGTTCCGGCTCGTTGCGGAGGGCACTGCTATCGGTGATTTCCTGCTCCTGCCTGCCCATCTCTGCGTCCCGTTCCATTCTATCGGTTGGAAATGTCAATTCAATGGCCTCCAAGCCTGGAGTGCGCTTTTGTAGATCCCGTCTTACCTTGTTGAGATGCTCAGCTTCGCTGCGCTTTCCTTCCAATCTGGCTGTCAACTCTTGGGTGGTCTCCTTGATATTCATGAAGAAGTTGACCTGGGAGGGAAGTTGCGCTGGCAGTGGGACTGTGAGAGCACTTGCCTTTTCGGATATGTATGGGACTGTATGTATAGCAAGGCAACCGCGGCTGCCTACATTACTCTTGCATTTAACGCCACAGCCAGGAAGACCTCCTACTGAATGAGACGCCCGTCTAAGTAATTAACTCATGTCACTCTACTGAAACCCATGTCTGCCCTCTTAACATCAATGTCACCACTAACCGACACTTTTTAATCTCAGGGCTCAGTGGAGATAATCAACAGAGTAATAGAGATCGGTCTGCGTTAAGCATGTCAATGACAACAAATGGTAGAAAAGAGTTTGTTTTCGATCAGAGCTATATGTATATGCTGAACCCCTCGAGCTGTGCTGCTCTTATACTCTCAAGCTACCTTTTCAAAGTTCCGGTCTTGGAACTGACCATCCTTCCCTCCGATTCGCCTCCGATTCGCCTCCAATTCGGTTCCCGTGCCTCTATCTATAGTTGCTTCCGGTCTTGGAAGTTTGGACGTCCTCGGCCTTCGCAAGGCAATTGATTAAGATTATGCCAAGCTCCCAAAAACTGTATCGGTGTCCTCCGATTCTGATTTGATAGATGGCTCTCTTTTCACCTCTGGTATTAGAGGTTGCCCCATCTTCCTCCCAGAAACAGACTCCTCATCAGAGTCAGTGTCACTGCTCGAAATATCGGAGCTATCGACTCTGCTCTGCGGGGCCCCCTGCGGAGCCTTGTTTCGGAGGCCCTCCAACTCCTTCTCGAGTCGGGCAATCTTGGTGTCTCTCGCCTTCAGCCTGATCCGTAGCTTATTCGTTGACTCTTTCTCGGCATTGAGCTGAGCTTGTGTCTCTGCCAACGCGCTTGATTCGGCCTGCATGATCTCGTCCTGGACAATCTCGTCCTGGCTCTCTTGCCTCAGCCGCTTCCTCCGCTTCGCTTCCTTAGTCTCGCCTCTGCGGAGCGCCAGCAGAGCCCGTCCGATGTATTCCTTCAAGTTGGACCCGCCGACGGGCGGTTCGTCCTTGTTCTCCTCTCCCTTGTGTGCCCCCTTTCCGACGTCTTGCCGGCTGCCGAGGACTTCCATCGATTGAAATCCTTCTATCTCTCAGCTTTTGGAGAAATCAAGCTATTTATACTTATTCTTTCGTCAGCAATATGAACCAGCCCTCTTAAGCGTTTGTTTTTAAGGTATGTCGTCGAGAGCTCATGAACGAAGCGTCTTGATTGGCTCTAGCCATGTCCCAGGTGAGATTTTATGGGTCAAAGGACTTACACGGCCTGCCTTAGCAGATCCCACCTCTCGAGTTTCTCAAAGTCCTCCATCTCTTCCACAATCATCTTTTTTTAATCACGCAGTTGAATTGTTCTGCGTCTGGTGAAACACAGAATCCCACGGAGAGGGCAGAGTGGGAGAAACAAAAGGAGAAGGAGAAGCAGGCCGCCACGCCCACCAACGCCCCAGCGGCCGAGATTGTCCCGAAGCCCGAGGTTGAGGCGAGCACCGAGAAGCCTAAAGGCCGCCCGAGGAAAGAACCTATAGATTGCTCTAATCACCCTAATGAAAAAAATGAAATCCTGTCGGATGCTGCTGCTGTTGTCTCTGATATCGTTGGCGTCTCTGCAGTCATCATTATCTCCTAAAACATGACTCCGAATTTGTTCCAGCATGCAGGACCTGTAGGCACATAGAAACATGCAAGATATGCAATCTCCTCTAAAAAAAAAAAAAAAAAAAAAAAGAAAAAGAAAAGTCTTTGACTCTCCTATTCTCCTTTGAAGTCCGCGCTGGATCTGCGGTTGACGTGTCGCTGCGAGCTCCATCATTGAGTCCGTTTGATTGGCTCACTGTGGCTTCGATCTGAACCGCATCTGTGGGTCGTCGATCTTTTATGGATCGAGGGACTCGTGCTGCCTGGTAGACGGCTCTTGCGAAATTTCTCAAAATGCAAACTTCATCTTCACAACCAGCTCTTGTACGAGCCCGGCTTAAGAAGAACTCACGCCGATATGGCGGAGTTGGAGAGACGCAAGGCCAACCGGGAACACTTCGCGCCTGTGCCTCCTCAGCCGCATGCGGCAGATGCTGATCCGCGAACTTACTCATGGGAGCACGTTGACCTGAGTGAAATCAGGGCCTTGCCTGTTCTGAGGTCAATATTTAACGACTTGACCCTAAAGAGGCCTAATCTTAAGGACGCTTTGATTTTCATGGCGAAATTTGATAGCTGCCTGCAAGATACGTTCGATCTCCTCCACGGCGCCAAGATATACAAGACCGACACCCCCTACCTCGTGTACATAATACTGAAGATAATATGGGTTCGAGAGAGTAAGTGCAGTCCGGACGTTGACTGTTCCGCCCTCTAATCATGCTGATAGCTGGCGGAAACTGGGCGGCCATGGGCTGGAGGACTCCGATAAACTACCTCTTCCTGCTCGACCTGCGCTACCAGACGTACCTAGAAGCTTTCCACCCCGAGGATGCGCCAAGTCGACAAGAGGCTGGATTCTTCGCCCAGGGTGCAGAGCCAGACATTGCTGCAGACCAGGAATCTCGATTAGACATCTGGGACGCCCAGGGACTCAGCAGGGACCTCCTAGCTTTTGGCGAGAAGCCATTCGAGGTTTTCTTCCCCAACGGCAACATCCCGCAGTTCTTTGCAAAGGATGCCTTGAAGGGCGCCAACCTCTACGTCGACCCGAGGCTCGCCATAGGCCGGAACATGCGCAACAACAATAAGCTGTACCTGGTTGTCTACAGAATGACAAGGAATGGACATTCCGGCCCGAACGACAAAGCTCTCTTCCACGCATACGCTGAGGCCTGGGGTTGTCTACGAGCGTACCGCACCAAGATCGATGGTGGCATTTTCCACTCGCTGGGCGACCACTTCAGAGACTACTATGGCCAGCTGGAAGTGGACGCGACGATGATGGAGCTGGATGACCTGTGCGAGTCAAACATGGAGCCCTCGATCGCTGAACCTGTCAACACAAACGGCAAGAAAAGGCAGCAGCTGCATGAAACGAGCAACTGCGGTGATAATGACATGGGCCGGCCGATGCAGGTCGATAGCGAGTGGATGGGGGAGCAGAGGGAGCCCAAGAAGCGTAAGGGCGTAAATGGCCTGGCTCACGCTCCGTAGGTTGATGGTTCCCATACTGCCACGCTGCGCCATCTTGATCTTCTGTGCTCTCTTATTTGTGATGTAGAAGATGCGGAGGCTCCAAAGGCCTCGGCAATGCCCTGCGTCTGTGCTTCGAAGCATGGCTGATCTGGAGACAGGGGTTAGTTTCCCAGCCTCAGAGTTGTGCTGCCAACCTCGTCAAACAACTGGGGCCTGGACATTTGTGATCGATATTTCTGCCGAAAGCACATTAGGGACTGGACCCAAGCACTGCGTTAATCCAAACCTGAAGGCTCAATTGCATAAGCGTGCTTCATGGGCCGAGCTAGAAAGAAGATATTCGCCATGTGAACTGGTGGATTCTCGATTTTGGCGAAAGGGCCGCAACACAGGAGTCGCAGAGAAGAGAACATTCGCTTCATTTCCTCACAAATGACCAAGTCGCCGATGACGAAGTTTAAACACCAGCTATCGAAGCAACCTGATGTCCATGGCACGTCGTCAGTCGACTTACACGGCTCCCCCGGCCACTTGATCAAACCTAAGCGAGCGTGGTACCTGGTTGCTATGACGACTCGGGTGGATGAAGCGACATCATGTTAATCAGGAAACCGGGAGAAGAGCCGGGAGAAGCGCAGGGGCGTGGAGAGAGAAGAAGAATCGACCAAGCCCCGGGGGGTTCGCCATGCCATGCCATGCCCTTGCCCACCGTTGTGGCCCCTCGACTTCGTGGCAGCCAGCATTCGACAAGCCCTGACGTGGACTCACAGACGTGTGCGGAAGTGGATGTTCAGGTCGAGAGTTTTCCCAGGTTGGGCGCGCGAGGTGACGTTGGATAAGACGACGGGTACGTATCAAGCGAGCAGGGAAGGGCCCCACCAGCGGCACCGGCGCACTGTGTCGGGTCAAACGGTCTGAGATTTGACGAGCCAATGGGACGGGATGCTCATGCACGGTCGCTCCTGATTGGGCAATGGGAGCTGCACGCAATCTAAAAAAGTCGCGACCAAACGCGCTAGAACGCGCCTGCTTCGCGCGACAGAGCCGCGTCGCGACGACCGCATCGCAACTTTGGTGGTTTTGACGACCACCCACCTCCTTCGATGACTTGTTCGCACGTCTTCTCTCGTGTTTCCGAGGCGACCTGGCGGCAATCGCGGGTGATCACTACTTCAAATCCTGATGCCCTTGATGTCGTCCTGTTGCGAGTTTTGCCGCTCAAGTGGTGATTCTCGCGATTCGCATTTTGCCGCCGACGACCTGACCCCGCCATGCGGCGTTCCTGAATAGCGATGTCCATGAGACGAAGAGATCCTATTTCTGAAATTCGAAAAGAGTGCTCGATGCCCAAACCCTCTCCACAAGCCCCGTTGCCCTCATGGCGCGGGGCTGAGCGATCGAATACCCACGTTTCTGATGCAAGCCATTAAGCAGCCCCTCTTCGCAGGCCTGTCTGCACTGCGGAGCACCCATTGTTCTGATACGATATCGGCTTTGTCACTTTGAGTGCCACCGCTGTTCTGCACACCACCTTGACGGTCGCCCGGGATATGTCATGAGGGCACTTAGATTAGAACACCTTGGGCGGACGTTTCGGGAGCAGTCAACCGACTTGAGGGTCAGGAGCACCTCGAGTCATGCGTCATCGTCATTCGGGAGGGAGGGTCGAGGTCATGGGTGACGTTACACAG